AACTTGGCACTATATCTGGGTAACCTGTGGTTCAAGACAGAGCAACTCTAGTTCAAAGGTAGTATAACAGCACTCTGAGTTACTCTTCAGAGTAGGATAACACTACTCGAACTCACCTTTGAGAAATTCAAAGTAACTCACAAATTGACTACTTGGGTTACCCTATCTAGTAGTGTAACCACTGCTTCTTATTAGTCTAATATGTACTGAGCAGTTGCACTAAGGAGTGATATTTCATCTCAGCAAAGTTTTCTATTTAATAGCAGATAGGCTGTGCTCTGATATACTCTAGTGATATTTACCATCACAACTACATGTTGCATCAAACCTGCCAAGATGCCAAGCGAAAATGCGAAAATATTCAGACCTATTTGATTAAATCTCACTTCATCCACAGACTTTCAATATTCACAACGTGCTCAAGCATAGATTAAGAGAATGCTAGTACTTATGTACTTCATAGTATGGTATAGCATGTACAACTGAGGTATCTAATCACAAGTACCTCCACTGCGTAGACTCTGGTCTTCTACTATTGCTACAGCAGTAGTCTCTTGACACTAGTATATGGCTAGGTTTGGCTAACTGTAATAGCATCTATGGAGTCTTAATATAGTTTCTAAGCCAACTACCCGTGGAGTCACCTAAGCTATGTGATTTTAGATCGAAGTTCTGAGGTTTTAGCGTTTAGTTTGTTTGGTAGTTTTTCTTTCATTTATCCTGAAGAGTGTCATTTGTCAAGTTTGAGGATGTCCTTGATTTTAATTGCTTGTGTGTAGTGTTCTGGTTTTGTACGCTGCAGGTTGCTAGTCAGGGAGTTGTTTCTACCCACATACTTTAGTTTGCAGGTTCTTCTTGCTGCTAGAGCCCGGACAGGAGTAGCAGTTTAGGTGTACATATCTCTACTGATATGACTATATATCTTAAACATAAATCTAACTAGATATAAAATTAAAAATTAAAAATTAAAACAAAAAAAAACTTACCATTACTACTTTGCATTCTCAAGTACTCAACTCCCATAGACTGTCTAGCTAACCTCTACAGGTTTAACCCAAGATCTTAATATCTGCGAGATGGAAGTTATTTTACTACTGGATCTTCTATGCAAGCCCAAGAGTAACAACCCTTTACATGTTAGAAGTACCTAGATCCGATTCCAAGGAACTATCCCAAGTAGGGTAAACCCACTAGGAATCAGCATCTTTCATCTCCAACACCCCTCTGAGGCCCCCTTTTGGGGCCCACATGGCCTTATACATATTAATCTGAGTCGCATCTTGTGACTATAATGGCACAGAATTAAAGTTGTCAGAATAATACCTTATACGTAGCTGCCATTTGTCTGACTAGAACTTCTTTGCAGCATATATGAGAGGGGACATTGGGCTAGGTCCAAGAAGTGGAACAGAGTAAACCTGTCAACCACTCAGAGAGTTACTAGGTTTCCAAGATAGAACATCTTTCGTATAGGATGTAAGTAACGGGACGTGTTTGCACAAAAATATGATTTTAAATTTTAGAGGCTCTCTATGAAAAGTCAACATATTCTCAACTACACTACCATAATTTGAAGTGTTTAGAACTCTGAGGGAGAATAATAAAAAAGCCATTAAGCCTCTTGTAGTATTACAACTAGGTCCCACAATATGTCATAGTGGTGGGTATTATTTCCAATACCAAACAACAATAAATGCCCTGTTGCTGAAAAAAGCCAGGAGTTATTGACTGATGGATTATTTGCCAATCCAGTAGAATAGCCTTCTGTGAATTAGTTGGAATTCATCCAAGGATATTAGTCACTTGGATTAGGAACTATAGTGGTTTAAAGATGGTAACCAAAGAAGATTACATCTACAAGTGCTACTGCAGATATGACCCGCAGATGAGGCTCATTCTTTCCCCAATAAGGGAGACAATTGGGGCCAATACAGTTCAACTTAAAAACTACTCCATAGGTCTAATAACTTAGATGATCCAATAATTACTATTGGAAACAGCACGGTATCCAATTAGCAAACTAGTAATTACCAAAGTGTGTGTGATGATTTTCAGGGTCTTCTAGTATTCGCACATTAGGAGAATATCTGACATTGCAAGTTATAGCTAAAAAGCTACATGATTTGCATAAGAGATAAATGTAGTCCATGAACACTGTGATGCAGAATATAAATATTGAAGTGCCTACTATGCTTTAGATATCATCAAGCAACAGAGCAGTGACCTTAACTATATAGTATTGTCTTTACAATTCAATTTTACTTTACCTTACTCTATATAGTTATAAACGAAATGAGTAGCCCTTTGAGACTTCCCAGATAAATCTTGGTCTCTGAAATGAATCTCAATTAGCGTAGACAATTCTAAGTCCATACACATCATCACCACTTAACACCATATCACGGAACTGTCGGTAGTGTGCTATCATGTTAGAGCAGCTCCTTTACCAACTATTAAACTCTCTATCCATATATGCTTAGCCTTCTCCAACCATCTACAGCCCCAAAAGCTCTATCAGGTTCTAATATACTCTATATCATTCCAGATAAAGGCTATGTAGCTCTCCCGATAGACTCCTTCCGAATTTGACTACCAATATGCACTACCTCCTGTCAACCCTCATAGTAGTAGGTCTCATCATAACCTTAAACTTGTGTCTTAGAGATTTTCACAGTTCTCTATTACTATTACACTTTCAGGGCAACTAACTTCAGTCACCTCACCTACAGGCTTACTTTAGCCTCACTTATTACTTCTGAATTGTAAGTGGTATTACTCCATCAGTTTTGGTCCGTTTTGTACAAAGCTATATGGAGAACAATTTCAGGGTTCTCCCCTTCATGACCATGTATTCTGCGAAACCCCTCTGGTTGGCCCGATGCCGTTAACGTATACAGTTTTACTGGAGTGTCCCCAATTGTACACTTTTACTAAACTTACACCAACTCTTCAAGCTATAGCCCATCATACTAGGGACAGATAACAGGAGTCGGAGGGGGGTGTTAGCCACTATACCTCTAAGTTACAGTATGTTTGGAGCTTAGCTGGTTGTGCAGGAGTGATCTGCACAACCTGAGATCCTAATATTCTCTGTAGTTTTATATGACAAACAATCTATTAACTTCCCCTAAAGTCCTACATAACAGGTTACTTGTAGGGTTGGGCAACTTGGCTTTATAGCCAGATAACCAGTAGTCTAATGCAGTGTAACTCTAGTCTGAAGGTAGGATAACTCTACCTGGACTCACTGTTGTACAATTCACAAACTTCCAAATTGACTACTTCAGTTACCCTACTCAATTTGGTAACTACCATCCCATACTAGTATCTAAGTACTTCTAGTATAGTATAGTCTGTCCAAATTAGGTAACCAATCAATAGTACCTTCACTCAGTAGACCCATGACTACTAACATTCCTATCACCATACTTTCCTGACACCAGTATGAGTATAGGTTTGGCTAACCGTAATAGTGCTCCATGGAGTCATATTACTCCTCTCTAGTATAAACCTTGAGCTTCAATAGTATTATCTTGACCTTTATCTTATAGATTTAAAGAATTCTAATAATTAGGTCAAAAATATTATTGAAAAGGTCATTTCTTATAACTGGTAATGTCTTACTTAAAATATCCTTAATTCTCTAGTAAGATCAATAGTAGATAGACTAGATATAATTTTTAAAGTAGATAGATAATATATCAAATATTCAGTTTCACCATGTATTTATATAGTTTTAAATTTCATTACTATTATAGCAGTAGATTTGATAAGGAAAGCAGGTTTGTCAGAATACCAATTTTTCATATTTATTAGTACATAGTTGATGTTGATAATTAACAATATCAGACTCAACTTCCGCCTACTTCAACAGGCAACATTGTCTTGCACGAATGGCATTCTCTGTTATTAACTAACTCTATGGTCCCAACAAGAGACCAACAACCTACCTTTACCCCTTGTTTGAATTCTCCTCGATTCCTCCAATATTATTGTATGGAGTGGATCTTTTCTCCCCTTCCACCCATGCATCTAACAAGCTATGTGTCTTTTATTAGTTGGTCCTGTAATGGGTAACGGATTGTTTTTCTTCGCACTCTCTTGTAGTCTTCTTCCTCACCTGCAAGGCAGTCCTCCTTTCCCCTGAACATCTTAATCCCCCACTGGCAGTACAGTATTACATATTCACATTCTTCTCCTGGTAGTATACCCTGCCCCCATCTTGCTTAACCTATAGTACACTTCTATAATAAACTTTTATCTACCAACTATTGCTATTCAATTGTCTCTTGGTATCAGTATAAATATAGTAGGTCTGATTTTCTATTACTACTCTCAATCTTGTAGGATTGTTGCATATTTGTAGTATTTCTAATATTTAACCATGTACAAGATCATTCAACAGTTGAAGTGATACTTACATTCCAACCTACCAGATAGCCTCCTACTCTCCTAGCTGCAACAATTGCCCAGCATTTAATGAAATTATGATCTTTGACCACCCCTCACTGTATCCTACTGTTTGCTCTTAATTCTTAGCCAAATCCCCGTCATTTGAACTGGTGTTGATGAAGTTGTAGTAGTTTAAAGGTTAAAGGATGATTGTAGTCAAACACTCAATTTAAACACCGTCGCATTTGGTGAGGCTGGTGGGATTATCCCCTCCAACGGCCAATTTACCAAATGATAGGATAGTCAACGGCTTGCAGCATCACCATAATAATATCTCTCATGAATCGTTCTTATTCGCACCCTCCCCACCACATATCTCCACAAAACATTATAGAATAAGACCCATGGAAGCAAAGCACAAGATCCAAGGTTCCACTTGAGCCTATCACCCGATATCGCACCAGTACTGCGCAGTAGCTCTGATTGGAGCAGCTGGTTACTGCTGTACTGTACTGTATAGATACTGTACCATTTTCCAAGTTCCCCACCAAACAGTACTAACGAGAAACATGTTAGAACTCAAAGATGGACCCACAATCACACCACTCTCCCAGAACATAATCTATGTTATCATTTTTTGCCACGATGATAATAAAGAAACAAAATACACATCTAAAAGCCCATGACCGGCCGTGCCTCCAATCACTTTTCTGATTTCTGATAGCATAGACAAATGTCCAAATAGAAAATTGTCTATATAACTATCCACCGCCAACAGGTTTTCCGTTTGACACAAATGAAAAAACACATCGAGCACAAGCCCTACTCTTTACCAGAAAAAAGCGAGAACAGCAGGGCCAAGTGAATAACCGAAAGCAAACAAGCAATAGTAATGATAAAGGGGGAAAAAAAAGATCCCACCTTAAGATATGCCGTATCGTACCCAGATACTTGTTTCCGAGAAAACTCGAAGAACAGGATGACAGCACACAAACGCAACGACAGAGAAAACAACCCCTCAAACCTAAAAGGGCCTTGACAAAAGAGTATAATAAGGAACAAGAGAAGAGAAACTAAAGAAGGGAGAGCCTTGTTTTTGAATTCCTTTTTTTCCTTTTTTTCCTTCTGATGGATTGATCGACCGAGCACGCATTTAAAGACGCTCGATCAAGCGGTCGATGCCCCCATTACGGGATGAGAGTAGACGGCGAATTCTAAAGGCCTCTTCGCGATCCGGTGGAAGATCCCACATCACCTCAACGGCGAGAGGGTTCCCATCGGCATCCGAATCAGATTCCCACAAGTCGCACGCCGCTTGAAATCCCAAGCCATTAGCGACCAACTCCCAGTGAGTAGGGTCAGGACTGTTATCATCCAAGCCAATTAGTCCAACAGTATCATAAAATGACATTTGCGGGAGAATAGACCTTAAACTGCGCTCTCTGTCCCCTAACCCATCAATCCCCAACCAGCGCCTGGCGGAAGGGCCCGTAAGGTAGGAGAATTCATCACGCCTTCCACCCTCCGTTTCATCGATAGAGGATTCGTCACGGGAAAAGTACTGGGATCGGCGTTGAGAACCTTCCTCAGCGCCAGCGCGGCGCGGAGCCGTGCTGCTGCTACTGCTGCCCTCGGAGGAGGAGGAGGCAGCAGTGGGAAGGGGAAAAGGGGTGCGAATTCGGCGTAGCTCCTCTTCCTGCTGCCTCTCCGGGAATGTTGGGGGGAAGCGCGGGGTGTAAGTATCGGAGGCAGAGGAAGGCAACCGATAGTTTTCACTTCTGAATACCGGCAGAGGCGAGCGAACTCTTCTTATACCCCCTCTGCCTGAGGTTGCACTAGATGGTGCTCTAGCCTCCGCATCGGCCAGTGTCAAGCGCAATCCAGCGCGCTCTGGGTCAGGCACGGGGCCCGGGAGCGCATTCAATTCGCTCCAAGGGTAAGGGCGCTCACGTCTACCCTCTGCGATGCTAGAAAGGGTGTTCGTCTCTCGCGCCAAATCGTCCCGCAATAGATTCATCAGGGTTTGGGAAGACCTGATTCGACGACCGGGCGCCGAACGGCGAGGCACGGCCGCACGGCGAGGATCAAGTACGGCATCGATATCTCTTTTCTCAACAGGTTCTTTCCACACTGGCATGCCCATAACTATTAATATATTTTGTCTTCGTGTTTCGGTGGGGGGATGGAATGTTTCTTCCTGTTTCTTCTCGGGTTTTGTGGTGTTGGTTGAGGCGGGAAGGTACGATAGGCAGGCAGGGGTCTCGGAAAGGGAAGGAAGCGGTCAAGACGAGAGACAAAAGCGATGTAGGGTAAATGATCGTTTTGCTGGGCGCAAGCGTTGCGCCGGAAGCACGAGCGGAAGCGATCTCGGAAGCAAAGAAAAAGGAGGAAAGAGGTAAAGGCGAGTGAGTGAGAGAGGAAGAATTCGGAAGAGAGGCGCCAGAGAGGTGGATGGGTCGATGGGTCGATAGATTTTGGCGGAATGGGATGGGGAAAGGTCCTGGGATTAAATTTACTGAAGTTTTGGTTGAGAGGAGAGAAGGCAGCGGCACTTGGAGCGCTTTCTACCCTTTCAGTAGGTGATGTGATGCTGATCAACTCGACTTACAGTACCGGTACCCCCGGTATTGACCAGACAAGGCGCCGATCCGATACCAAAAAGCGAGCCAACCGAACCCGTAGTTGTACGAAGGATTCGAAAGAAGGCCTAAGATTAGATAAATAGTTAGGGTGGAAGCGCGCTCGTACAGTACTCGTACAGTGCCATTCAGGGTGTTTCTCCTTCGAATAAGGTGATACCAGTACCGGTATGGTGTGCTTTGTGTAGGTAGTAGATATTGTGGCCTGTAAGCTACAGCAGCGCGGGTACGATATCATGGAACAACAGCATGCAAGCACACGGCACTTACAGGGTAGACTATGATATCGTATACTCGAGTATGATACTGTAATACTAAAGTCACTCCATCCCCGCGAATGAGACCCTAACCCGCTTTCCGTGCATCTTCCTGCTCAAGCCCGCGATCACGAAATATACACAAGTACCGGTACGGTACTACCGTACACCCACAACAACCCACACGCTGGTTGAGAGGGGCCAGACAGGCGGTTGAGAATCTCTGCCTCTCCCCGATAAGACCCGACCATTTCAAAGTTATCATAAAGGACCTGGAAGGGCCAGCATACTTGTCATTGTGCAAGTATCGCGCAAATACTCTAGGACCCATCCAAGATGGGGGGGCTACCACAAAGATCCAATGCTGCACAACACCGCAAACTAGAATACTCCCTGCCTTTGACGGCTTGGAGTACCGGTACCGGTACGAGAGCGTCATCCCCGGTGCTATACCGTCAGAGCGAACCCCATCCAAATAAGGCCAAGACCTGGGGTGGTGTTACACGGTCCATTGATCGAGCTGCACGTTTAAAGCTACGGCAGCTATGGTACCGTGCTGTGCAAACAGATTGTTCGTTGCCAAAATTAACCGCGCACTCATGAATATGTCCCCCAGTACGCCCAGTAGTCCCGTCCGTCCAAGACGGGGTGAGGACACAACCAGATGCTCAGGATGCTCAGGATGCGTGGGACACAGGCAACTGAACATTTGCATTAGGATGCACCACTGATGCATCTGATGCAGGGTTTTTTTTTGCTGATGCAGGTTAAATCATCATGAAAGCAGAATCACCTAAAATGATTAGTCCATCCTTGATAACCCTGTGACCTAGCATTACAGGATGTAACACTACCGGTACTATAATATTATTATACATGCTTTAGACGAGATAATACATCGCACCATTTGTCGAGTAGGGAAGCCTAACCCCACCACGACCCCACCACCAATCCATAGTTCAAGCCCTCTCCCTGCCATACAAGTCTAACCAAACCAAACAACTCCTACAATGGATCAAGCTATCGGAGAGCTAGTCGAGCATACCAGCCGTAAGCACCATACCATATTTTCAGTCAATTTCATATTCACCAAGTTATAATACCTGCCCAGTACGAAACTAACCCACGACACTATAGAAACACTCTCCACCCTCCCCCCCAAAACCCGCTTCCTAATCAGCGTCTCCGGAATCCCCGGCAGCGGGAAGACCACGCTCGCAAAAAAGGTCGCGGAGCGCCTAAACGCTGTATCGAAAATTGGAGACGTAGCAGCTATGATTCCAATGGTCCCCCCCCCTTCACTCCACCCGCCCTTTGGAACCCCGATTAAGTTCACAGACTTATAATAATGATGATGAATGGTGGTGTAGGATGGCTACCATTTAACACGCGCTGCCCTCTCCGCAATGCCCAACCCTATCGAAGCACATGCCCGCCGCGGCGCACCCTTCACTTTCGATCCTGTATCTTTAAAACGACTAATCGAGCAGGTGAAAGCACCACTAGGGGAGGCAGAAAAGATAATATACGCGCCGTCCTTCGATCACGCTGTTAAAGACCCGGTAGAAGATGACATTAAGATACTGAGTTCACAGCGGGTGCTTATCTTTGAAGGTCACTCACTCTCCCTTCCTCCCTCCCTTGGGCGTGGCCTAATACATATGGAGAGGGTCAGGGAATTACTTAAGCATGGGCACGGAGGTCTGGGGTGATATCGCGAGGCTTTTTGACGAATTGTGGTTTGTGAAGGTGGACCGGGGAGTTGCGAGGGAGAGGTTGATTGCTAGACACTTGAAGGCGGGGTTGGCGGATACGCGGGAGGCGGCGGCGAAGCGGGCCGATGAGAATGATTTGCCGAATGGGGATTATCTCATTAAGAACGGACTTAAGCCTCATCGGGTTATTCGGAGTGTTGAAGATCAGGAGTATGCTAGGGGTAAGTAGATAGATGGATAGAGATTACCGTCCTCACGCCAGCGGTATATACCAAGGGGGGAGTATAAAACTTGATACAATTATTTGTTTTCTATTTTTCAGAACGAATGGACAGAAAAGCTATATTACCAGGTATACTTACTCACTCACTGCCTCACCCGCAAGCAAGTTCCGAACAGGTCTCTCGGATTACCAGCCGATACTGCGTACTTTTCGCTGAAAGTTGCGATGTCTACTGGAGCTTTCATGATCCCGCTCTCGCTGTAGTAGTCCATGAGGGCCTTTGCCTCTCTCTTGCTCAGACTGTCCACCTGGATGATCTGAGCACCCTCGATTGAGGGCCCAATTCTTGGGTCGAGTTTCTCGTATGGGTCGACTCCCCGACCTTCGAGCGCTGCATCAAGGGCTAGCGTTCGAGAGCATTTCGATGATGTTGCAGCGAGGGTGATTCCCGTGCGGAAGCTGCGCTTGCCGGATAGGTATGCGAGGAATGTATTTGGAAGGGCGAGATCGTGGGGGTGGATCGCGTTGAAAGCAGGATCTCGGTACTTGCTCGGGATGGAGATCTGATTGAGGTTGTCCAGCGTAAACAGCACTGGGGGACTAGTAGGTTCGAATTAATTTGTTAGCATAATATATACCCAGTTCAATGCATGTTGGGGCTCATGTTGGAGCGAAAATATTCCTAAGGAAGGCAACGAAAATATCCACAGTTTCTACGCTCTTAGATAATAAAAGTTCTTTACGTCCGACTGTTCTTCATCACTAGAAGTGGTGAGGGGAGGATCGAAGTATTGATAATTACCTTCCCGGTAAACCCAATTCTCCAAGCAGAACATTGAATGCATCCCAAGCAAGCAATGGATCCAGAACTGCGGTCTCCAAGACCCTTTTCATTGCATCGCCTTTCTGGGCTTCATCCATTCGTCCCAGACGATAGTTTTGGGAAAGTTTCATCTGGGGAGCAACGCTGAGTCAGTGACTATTCGCCTCGAGTGGCAGGAAAACGGGAATCCAACCTGTTTGAAGGCGCTCTGATTGGCCTTCAATACCCTATTCAAAAGATCCGTAGTGTACGCTTTCTGCAACCACAGATGCGAATTACCCTCAAGCTCGTACTCGGTGTGTCCAACAACCAAATCATGAGCTACCCCGCCGTCAGCACAACCCCACCTCCACCTCTCCCGCGCAAAAGGAAGGATCTGGGAGCCAACCGTTAGGGATAGCGATAACAACCCATTCCATCTGCAGCGCCCAAGTCATCGCCTGTAGCAGGAGTATGCTCCTCCCACACCCATAATACCCATGCAAGATCGCCCTCTCATTCGCCTTCCCATCCTCTCCCACGACCTCCCGCTTCATGACCCTCTCCAACATCCTCCCAATTTCCACGGTCTCCCTCCGGAAAAGTGTGCAAGGGCGATGGAAAAATGGCCAATGCTGCTTCGTCTGGAAGGCCCCCAGCGCCCTCAGCCGATCTACAATCATGTCCCCCTCCCCACCCGGCAGCGCAAACATCGCTCCGGCGGCCTCCTCGTTCCCAACCAAGTCCGCTGTCATGGGTGGCAGTGCCACTGGGATGGCATTGGTATTCGATAGGACGATGCGCCTCCGCAGTTCCTTGCGCTGGCCGACTTCGTAGGCGGGTTTCTGCACTGCAATGGGCGCCTTCTTTATGCGGAGTTTGCTGGACTGCGTGCGTTGCTTTCCCGGGTTCATTTTGGACGAGGGTGGGGGCCCCTTTGGTTTTAATGGCTTTGCGGAAAGTGATAGGGTTGTGGTGAAGTTGTGGGTGCATGGTCGGAGTTTAAGTGGGTGGGTGATGTATGGCGTTCGCAGGCATCGCCAGAGGGTCGGAGGGACCATTTTTGTGGCCAATTGGAGAGTGGTGAAGTGGTGGTGTGGAAAATGTTTCTAAGAATTTGATGTTTGGGGTTGTAGGCTGGGTAAGGCCAATGGAGCCAGTGGTGGGATGCCACTCATGTGGCTTGGCCTTGGTGTCGTAAGTATACGGGAGAAGTACGAGTACTGTACTCGCACTCCGAGTTTACCTACCGTACTCGTACATTATCGTCTGGTAACATATCTGTGTTCAAGACCTGTGCGCGACCCCTCTTTCCTTTCTCTCCTCAAAAACCAATTCTTCATTGTAGCCACCAAACAACGAACCCCAAAATGATCGATCTCGGCCTCAAGAGGATTGCAAGACTGGTACGGGATCATGGAAAGTTCTCCTGGAGAGCGATTCATGTGAGAAATTTTTACCCTTCCATCCATCCGTTCTTTCGTTTGTCCAGCCCAGCACTGTTTGTCTAATTGAGAATCACCAAGGTCGCGGGAACAAACGGGAAAGTACGTCAACTGCGTGATCGTCCATGTCCACACCTGAACAGAAGGACTAACGTTGGTGAAAACAAAAAAAAAACCCCACCGCTACAAATAGGGATCCGTATGTGCCTACATCTCCTCCTGCCTCGAGTCTTCGGGCATTCCAAGTGCACGATTCACCTCGCCGCATCTAGTCGACCGCCGGGACTGCATAACCGTCAACGGCGCCCTGGTCAACGAGGAACTCTTCTTGGCGGCCGAAGCCGCGGTCAAGCAGAAGAACGCGCAAGAGAAAATTGGCGCGTCCGAGTTCGAGATCCTGACGGCGACCGCGTTCGAGATATTCTCGCGGGAGAGAGTTGACCTCGCCGTTATCGAGGTGGGCATCGGTGGCCGATTAGATGCAACGAATGTGATCAAGTCGCCCATCGCGGCCGTCATCACGAAGATCGGATTGGATCATCAAGCCTTCTTGGGATCCTCGCTTGAGGAGATTGCCGGGGAGAAGGGCGGGGTGATTAAAGCCGGGAGTAGGTGTATAGTGGATGGGACAAATGAGGAGAGAGTGCTTTCGGTGCTTGGGAAGATGGCAGAGGAAGCGGGGGTGGAGAGCTTTCATGCTGTTCGTCCGGAAATGGTTGGTGAAAAGGGAGGAGTTGACGGGAGAATCTGCGAAATCACGACAGAGGCATTTGGAAGACAGAGGTTTGAGGGGTTCCTCAAGGGGAATTACCAGCCGGCGAATCTGTCCTGCGCTGTTCATGTGCTTTCTTACCTTTCCATGGAGTACCCATCAATCACTGCGTCAACGGTTCTTGCCGGCGTGAGGAATACAAGCTGGCCTGGGAGGATGGACACGATAGACCTATCATGTCTGTTCCCCGGGCAGGAAAGACGGGTTCTCCTCGACGGGGCACATAATATCCAGGCGGCGCTTGCCTTGTCAGACTACGTTACTAAAGAGCTACGGACTGGGGGCAGGTTTGTGTCCTGGAACATCGCTGCATCGAAAGGGAAGGATGTCAAGGAGATGTTGGGGATTTTGCTGCGGCCTGGAGATAAAGTTGTGGCCGTCGAGTTTGGACCCGTGGATGGAATGCCATGGGTGACGGCGACGAGCACGGGGGACATCATTGGCGCGGTGAGGGAGGCATTCGGAGAGGAGATTGAAGCTGTTGATGGAGGGAAGGATGTGCTTGGGGGAGTGAAGGCGGCATTGGAGCTTGCTGGCGATGAGGGGCGTACGGTTGTTGCAGGGAGCTTGTAAGTATCTTGGAAAGGTCGGGAGCTGGGTACTGATCATGGGGAATAGGTATCTTGCGGGAGATTTGATACGGCTGCTGAGGAGTATTGGGGGGGAAGGTGAATGATAGCAAAATCGTGGTGGATTTAGGTTCTCTTTGGGGCTCGTTTCGTGCTTGGACGGTCATAAATATTAATGAAATCAGTTTTCTCTGTAAGTTTGCTGTGCGATTTGCACCAAAGTGGAGTGATCAATTTGAAGAGCATCGATCATGTCCTTGCCTACTTCCTTTGTCAACTCGATATCTGGGCCAAGACCCAAAATGATAGTCTAGAAAACACCCGGGTTAAGTCTTCGCCCGAACACCGGTACCGTATTAACTCGAATAGAAGAACGACGCGCTAGTACCGTATGTTAATTTACTGCAAAAATCTTAAATCCACCATCGGGGATCGGGCTCAGCAATTGTACAATTAGATAAGGGAAATTAAGCCAAGAGATCGAGTGAACACTGGTGACGCCAAGACAGAAAAAGCTGAACAGATAGTATTAAACAAAACAAAACCCGTGCCCCGGAAGGTACGTCGAAGATGAGAGACTCTTTGAAATACCTCCAATAAGAAATGTGGTAATAGAGTATGCCAAAAATCTCGTTTGATATTAAGTCAGAAAAGAAAGCTGTGAAACAAGTTAGAAGAAAGAAGTGAAAGTTATAGAAAATAATAGAGAGAGAAATTTGAGGAAGGGGAAAGGAACAAGGTAAGAAGAGTACTAAAAAGCACTAGAAAGTAAGAGAAAAAGTGTAACGTGTGCGCAAGGTACTAGTCAGGTTTCAGGTTAAGGGACAATAGTTGTCAGGTAGCCTGCTCTACCAGAGAGGAGTCGAGAGCTGTAAACTAAAGGAGTCTTTGCAGCTGGAGTGGGAAAACAAAGAGTAACTATGAAACTAAGTATATTGAAATACTGTCTGTCGAAGTCTGCCTCTTTTCTCCTGGAATCAGGAAGTCATTAAATACACAAATCTGTTCATGTCTAGCATGCACGAACTTATCAAAGGTATCAAGCGATACACTTTGGTAAAACTACTTAAGTATCAAAACAATACTTGAAACAAAACATAAAACAAGCAAAGTATCAAAGCGATACATAAAACAAATGGAGTATCAAAGTGATACTTAAAACCAAACTTACAACAAAACCTTAATCAGGTACCTGTACCGGCTGCATTCTCCAAAACGAAATAAATCTTTAAAATCAATGAAATCTAATAATTTGGAAAATTAGAGTCTTCAGAAGGCATGAAACACTTATTTTCTACTAACCTCCAATCATTGGCAGTACTACACCATGGATGCATCATATTACAAAGAAAATAATGAGATTCAAAGAAATGTACATTGCAGTAGTCATGAATACAAGACTCATGATCTACCCTTACCTTTATTTTATTGCAATTGGAACAGTAGTCTACACAGAGGGCAGTAAAGTAATCTGCAGGCTGGATAATATCGCAACCCAACTATAATAGGGGCTACAACTTGGGAAGATAGATCCTGAGATTGTAACCACACTGAGATGAATTCTTCTGCGAATGCGAAAAAATATAATAAATTTCAAAGTCTCAACAGTAGAGTTTGAAGAAACAAAATGGTAAAATTTAGTATGGTTAAGCCACAGCTTTACTCAATTATGTCCTGATCTCGAGAGGTAGTTGATTGCCAGAGTAGAGAAAAACTCACAAATACATATGTAGATTTCATATACTGCCAGTTGCTCCCCATCACTACTCTGCATTTATGAGCACCCAACCTTCTCAAGCTGTGTAGCAAACCTCTACGGATTGGACCAAAGACCCTCCTTAGTAAACTAGACTACTCTGCAGTTTGCTAACATCTAACTGACAGAAGTGTTTTAGCCAGTGTATTTATAATGCAACTATAGAAGTAGAAACTGCCTTTATGATGAACATGTTAGTGACGAGTTACCATGAACGAGTGGATGTAATTCCAACTATGGAGCTCATTACCCATATATAGTTAGTCTTGTACAAGCATCCGCAGCCCCTGAATATCTATCTAGTCCTACTCTATTCTATATCTGGTAAAGGCAGAATGGACGGACTAGACC